CTTCATGTCAGTCAATCAATCAAAGATATTTAAAAACAAAAAAACTCCAGCCATTGTAATGCAAGCCCTTGGACACTATATTTACATTGAGATCTACTGAGATGCTCTTATTCTACATAAAAGAAAAAGCTGGATGATAACCAAATGACACAAATATCTTTATCAGGTGTGCCTCTGGACTTGAATTTATAGAGCAAAAGACAATGCCCATAGATGTATTCCATAAGACACACTCCTTGCTTTCGAACAATATTAAGTCAAATCAAATCCCTATAGCAATAGCAATTTGCACTTAGACTTATATACCACTCCACAATGCTTTACAACCCTTTCTAAGTGGTTTACAGAGTCAGCATAATGCCCCCAATCTGGGTCTTCATTTTACCCACCTCGGAAGGAGGGAAGGCTGAGTCAACTCTATAGCTCTCCGGAAGAGGAACTCAGAGGTTAACACAAACTGAAAAAGAGAGAGGCCACACCGCTAATCAGGATGGGATTGATAGTCTGGGAAACTATAATATGGAGTGGAGATCAGAATGTGTTCCACATCTAATCACCAAGGCAATAAACCATAAATAATAAATAGGGTGATACAGGAGTGGCTCATGGAAGAAATGGGGATTCAAGTGTCTCCTTTTTAGTCCTTATGCAGGCTGGCCCTGAATTACAATCCCAACTGAGCCCAAAATTTCCACTGCTAAGGAAGACAGTTGTTAAGTGAGTTTTGCCCCATTTTACAACCCTTTTTTTTTTTGCCATAGTTCTTAAGGGAATCACTGCAGTTCCATTAGTAACATGTTTGTTAAGTGAATCTGGCTTCCCCGCTGACTTTGCTTGTTAGAAAGTCACAAGAGGTTAGGGTTAGGGTTAGACCCCAGGACGCTGCAGTTGTCATACATACCAGTTGCCAAGGGTCTGAATTTTAATCGCGTGACCGTGGGAATGCTGCAAAGGTTGTAAGTGTAAAAAATAGTCATTAAATCACTTTTTTTTTCAGTGAGATTATAACCTCCAATGGTCACTAAACGAATGGTTGTAGGTCAAGGACTACCTGTAAATCAGATTCCAAAAGATAGCAGGTGGGAGTGTCCGCTTTTCTGCCAGGCAAACAGGCAGGCACCCATTGAAGAGGTGCAGGCAACCTTTTACCTGACTGTATTTTTCCATCATTTCATTTCCTGGTATCTGGAGGCAGCAGGGGAAAGGAGTGTGTGTGTTTTTTGTTTTTGCTTTTGCTTTCATGTATTTATTTACTTTAAAAAAATTATATCTCAATGACTCTCAATGGCTTACAAAGATGAAAACCCAATATAAAACAATAAAAAACCAATAGCCCTCCACATCCTCCCCCCCCCAGCAACAATCAGTCAATCAAAGGAGCCATTTGAAGGGCTCCATCCCACTCTGGGTTCCCCAGGCCCTTTGGCAAAACCAGGACATCTTCACACTCTTACAAAAGAAATGATGAAGTGGGGACATGATGTTCCATGGGCAGAGAGCCACAGGGAGGGAGGGAGGCAGAGCTGGGATTCAAAAATCCCAGCAACTGGCTCTCCGCCCAGTTGCTGGGTGGATGTGGCCATGGCCTACCGGAACTTCCTGTTTCCGGCTTCCGGTGGGCTTCCAGAGTCCGGGGATGGCCATTTTTGCCCTCCCACGGGTCCAGAGGCCTCCCCTGGGCCTCTGGGAGGGTGAAAACAGCCTCTCCTGGCTCATTTCTGGACTTCTGGGAGGCCCGTTTTCCCCCCTTGCAGAATCTCTGCGCAGACCCTGCAATTACCTCCATAGAAAATGGGCCACGTGGAGACTCCGGGGAGGGGAGGGGAGGAGTAGGCGGGGCCAGCCAGTCACTTGACATACCAGTTCGGGGAACCAGATGTAACTTTAACATCTGGTTTGCCCAAACCGGTCTGAACTGGTAGAATACCACCCCTAGAGGGAGGCACTATGGAAAGGTCCCTTCTTCTTGAACCTGCTAGATGTACCTCCTTAGGAAAGGAGACCCATAGCATTTCTTCCCTCTCTGCTCAGGTGGGTTGGATAAATGTGACCAGGAAAAGACGGACTGTATGTTAATTCTTCATTAAATGTAGCTGCTACTTCTTTTTGCTCCCTGAACCGCTCCCTTTCAGTGACCTGCTACCCATTTTTAGTGGCGCGCTCTTAAAAGAACATCAGGCCACAGATGGTCTACTTTTTGCAATAAAGCAATCTACACCTTTGTTTCTACACATGTCAACTAGCGAAGCCTCTACCCGGATTTCTTCCTCTGCAAGCTTTGGAAGAAGCTCACGCATGCTAGCTAAGACTCTGTGGATCAGGGCTTTTTCCGCAGTTTTGTCCAGATTTCATAGATACTGGCTGGGTTCTCGTAATATATTAAGCCATGGTAATTTTACTAAGGTTTATTTCATAATTAAGAGTTTACAATTGGTTAGATTCATTCAACACACTAAATAAAGAGATTTTCAAACAAAGCAACTTTTAACATGGTGCTTCAACTCTGAGAATTCCATGCCCAGCAAAGGTGTTTGGGGGAATTCTGAGAGTTGAAACCCATACATTTTACAATTGCCAAGTTTGAAAAACACTGAACTAAACAAAAAACCACCTTTTGGTTGTTGATTTTAATAAGGGAATCTGTAGAAATGTTCCTACTTGGCCAGTGTTTGTCATCCCATCGATCAAGCCCTTCCGGTTTTCGTCACCAGGTTCCTGAAGTACATGTTCTAGCTACCACAATTTAGAATATATTCTGCATTTAATTTCAAAAAACAGGGTCACTGACCTTTTTGTACATCTACAGATTCCAATTATCAGCAGAGGGAGCTTGAGTGACTCTTCAGTTTCCAATTTCCTCCAAAAGATGAATGGAAATGGAAATGGAAGTTTCCAGAAACAAAGTGCTTGCGATCAGTGAGATGCTGGTGGGGGGGGGGGGGGGGGGAATGCTGCTTCAAGGTATGGCCAATGTTTTGCAGGGATGGAAGAGAAGCGGGGAGGCAAGCAAGGGCTCCCTTGAGGTCCTGTGCAACAGTTGGGGAAGCTTAGCAATGCAGGTTTAGACTCTGTTGCCATGGTAGGTACAAGAAGAGCCCTGTGTCATCTGCATTATACTTTTTAGGAGTACTGTCCAATTTAGCCAAAGTCCAGAAATGGAAAGTATGTATCTCAAGACCATGGTTGGCTCCCAATTTGTGAGGTGACACTGGACCTCCAGCCCTCCCTACATTAGGGAAGGTCAAATAGATACAGGCATGTTCATCATATCAGGAGCTAAATAGTAATATATCATTAGCTCCCAGTCAAAATTTCCCAACTCGTTGCTCTTCGCATCTTTTGGATTAATGTCCCAATACACACCAGGAATAACTGATCAGTTGATAATGAGAACAATCGTGATACTAGGAGAGGGGTGGGTGCTAACTTTCTACACTAGTCATTCAAGAGCTCATAACATTTCTTCTTATTTCTTCCTGTGAAATGAGCTGACAGAGAGTGACTGGGCCAAAAGTCATCTAGAACAGGGGTCTCCAACCTTGGCAAATTTAAGCCAGGCGGTCTTCAACTCCCAGAATTCCCCAGCTAGCAAAGCTAAGCCTGAGGGACTTCAAAGCTGGCTGGGGAATTCTGGGAGTTGAAGTCCGCCAGGCTTAAAGTTGCCAAGGTTGGAGACCCCTGATCTAGAAGGAGCTTCAGTGGCTGAGGGAAGATTAGAAACCGAATCTCTCCATTCCTAGTTCAACACCTTAACCTTGCACTGGCTCTCCTTCCCCACTAGGTGTCGATCATTTCATATCTTTCAACGGGCAACTTCCCGAGGTCTTGCATACTAGCCCCAGGTAGGGGAACAGAGGAAGAGATGCCTCTTCAGATAACCTGGTCCTGGAATGCTTTGAAGGTTAAGCAGCACTTTGAGTTTGGCTTGGGGGCAGGGGCCCACAGTGCTGATTACAAGGCACTAGTATCAAGCGACTGCAGGCTAAAAATGGTTGATGTTACCTACCTCTTCCCCAACTGAGAGCATTCTCAAAGCAGCTTACATGATTGCTGAATTCTCAATCAGAAGCTACCAGGGCACAAATAATTGTTGTAAGGCTCCCTTTCTCCAAGTAGTGCCATAATCAACAAATGTTTTCTGTGTTCATTCATTCATTTATTCATATTCATTCATTCGTGGAATCCAAACCAAGTATCCAGTACAAGCCGAGATGACATGATATGCCATCGTATTAGCACAATTTTCATCACAAAGAAACCAGGTTGACAAACTAAGGGAAGGTGCGGAAGAAAACAAGCCAGGGTTCTAGTCCACCCTCATCAAGGAAGGTCTCTGGGTGAGAGCCAATAAGGTAGACCAGACCAAGAAACCAAGGCTCTATAGATCTGAAACTAGTTTCACTAGAACAGTAACAGAAACTTGAAACTCTGCATGTGTTTCCTTGTCCCTCATTTATCTTGGTGTAAATCAGAAAGAAGCTTCTATGAGACATTTTCTCAAATTAGTTTTTGGGGATGAACTCAAGCCCCACTTGTCTGGGTCTTCCTCCTCCAGTCCTTCAAAGCCATTCCCTAGTACCGGTAGGTGCTTTTGGGCCAGCTGTTCTCTCATTCAGCTCAATCTAGCACATGGGATTATTGTTGGGGGGGGGGGGAATAGGAGGACGAAGCGGTATCTTTGTCACCTTGAATAAAAGGCAGAATATAAATCTAATAAATACATAAATAGATAGAACAAAGAACATGATCTAATGGGCACAACATGACTGATGCAAATCATTTGTGCAATGACATCATCACTGCACAAGTGACGCAAATTCATGATGTCACTTGCCCCTGCTGTGGATGCCCTGGAACCACGAGCAATTCCAATACATCTGGAATTTTAGCCACGTTGACTAAAAAGAAAAAAGCTAAGCAGAATTTGGAATTATAGATTTAAAGAATCATAGTAAAACAACATTTGAAAAACACCCAAAGTCTATTTCTCGTCTCTTGTCTTATTTCTCCTGCGAGTCAAAGGGCCCTTCCAATTCATTCCAGTTCTTTTCCTGGTTCTTCTTCCTGTTCCTTTCTGCCATCACAATCGCAGCAATCACTGTCACCAGGACAGTAACTGTGATCACTAAGACAGTGGCTGTCTCTGCCATGCACAGCTGGCTGTCCACAGAAACAAGAGGCGAGCCAGCTAATTGCCAAGGACTGGAACAGGTGAGGTTCTCATAATCGTCCACATGAAGGTGCCGAACACTCATGATTTTGCCAAAAACCCTTTGGAGATCACAGTCACAGGCCCATGGGTTACCAGCCAGCTGGATATGTGTGCTTACTGTTTGGATATTTAGGAAAGTCTTAAATTTTAGGTGGATGAGCCGGTTGCCAGTCAAAGCCAGAAAATTCAAGTTGTGTAATGAAGTGAAAGCCTCTACTTCAATAAAGCTGATGTTGTTGCTGTTAAGCAAAAGAACTTCCAGGTTCTGAAGCATAAAAAAGAAGCCGTTATAGATAACTGCAAGCCTGTTAGACTGAAGGTAGAGATGTCGGAGCCTGGAGAGTCCTCGGAAAGTCCCTTTCTCAATCGAAGTGACCAGGTTGTGGCTCAAGTCCAGCTTCTCCAAGTTCTCCATATACTGCAAGCTTTCAAAACCCAAAGCTATCAAACAGTTGTGGGCCACCTTGAGATCCTTTAGGGAAGTCAACTCATTTGAGAAGTCATGTGGTAAGTGAGCCAACAAGTTGTAGCTGAGGTCCATCTTCTCCAGGAAACTCAGGGACGTGAATGTTTGGGGCCAAATCTTTGCAATGGAGTTGTGGGACAGAAGAAGGATCTTCAAAGACCACAAAGCATCAAAGCAGCCTACCTCTAGTCCACTCAAGTTGTTGTGTCTCAAATTCAGCATCCATGTATTGTGAGGGATGCCATGAGGAACATGGGCCAAGTGCCGATTGTGACAATCCACAAAACTGGAGGATTCATAGCAGAAGCAGAGATGGGGGCAAATCTTCGACGTATCAGCCCCATGAACAGAAAAGAAAAGAGCAGCTATAAATGAGAGATACATTTCTGAGAGGCCTGCAGCAGAAATTATTCTTGCTGCGCACTTGCAAAGCCCACAGAAAAGGAATGGAGATCTACGTCCTGCACTCCAGATCCTTGTCAGCTTCTACAGATGGGAGAAGAGAGTCAGATTTCCCCAGAGGAACCCATCACAAAGAGCTCTTTGTTAAGTGATTAGCTAAGAGCTTCCTTGGACTTTAGCCTTGAAGAACAACAACAGGCAACTTGAGTGAACAAGAGAGGAGGAAGGAATCAGAGACCTGTAACTGGAGCACTGGCATTTTCTGTAAGATAGGTCATTCATACCTTAGTTTCTCTGTTTTCAGCACTCGCTGCTTGCTTTTTGATAGACTAAGGGGCGAGAAAAAAATTGCTTTGTGGAGAAAGAAGTGTGGGGGGGGGGGGGGGGGAGAAGGAAGACACACTGATTGGCATATTAGTAGTGGAAGGAAATATAATTGCTAGCATTACCGGCAGTTGCATATAGGTCTGGACAAACAAAAAATCTTTCACCTCTGAACCTCTAGCCCACTCTGAACCATGCATAGTTATGCCAAGCAAAGCACACAGAAGAAAACCTGAAAAAACAGGCTAGGGATAAATCACCACGAAGAAAATCTATCTATCTGGTTGCTAGGAATCGAAAATGACTGGATGGCACACAATCAATCAAATATTAAGGATTTTTTCATGCTGCTCTGCTGCATTGTGCATGAACTCTACAGCACTGAATGAAGCCACAAAGTGTGCAATGTTCATATGCTAGCAAATGTTCCTGCTTCTGAGATTCAGCTGTCAGCTAACAATCTACCGTGTTTCTCACATAATAAGGCCGGGCCTTATTTTTTTTTGACCCCCGAAAAAACGGCTAGGACGTCTTTTCGGGGGTGACTTAATTTCCCCCCCCCTTTGCATCCTCGGGTGGGTGGGCGGCGACAGCTTGGATGTTCGGGAGACCTTCCGCCACCGTTAATTTCCCTTCCCCCTTGCTGCCGTAGCGTTACAGCAACGCCGCTGCGTTTGGCGCAGCCACGTGCAGCCAGTCAGGGCTCCTCCCTGCAACCGGAGCCCTGAGGAGACATTTGGCTTCAGGCGCTCCTGTGGCCGCCTTCCCTTTGCCTTCAATGGTAAAGTGAATTATTTTAAAAACCTCCGCTCATCCTATCAGGGCCGTGCGAGCTGAGCAGAGCCGGGAAAGCAAGCCGCGGGTGTTTCCTGGTTCTGCCCAGCCCGTACGGCTCTGCCGCGGCCCTGGCGGGATGAGCGGAGGTTTTTAAAATAATTCACTTTACCTTCTAAGGCAAAGGGAAGGCGGCCACAGGAGCGCCTGAAGCCAAGTATACCAACAACAAAAGGCAAATCCTCAAGGTGGGCTGGAGGGAGGTGGCTACGTGCCCCCCGGGCTGCTTCAATGCAAGGTCCTGACTTGCAGCATCCTGCCGTTGCCGCCGCGTCCTCCCTCTCCGACTGCAAAACTCGTGTGCTTCGCCAAACGCTCCGAGCGAGGCGAGCTCTTTCATACATAGAGAGAGAGGGAAAGACGCCGGCGTGCTCCGAGAGGCTGGCTCTTTTCTCTAGCCGAGGCTGACAGGAAGTGCCTCCAGGGCCGTGGCAGGCAAGCCGCGGGTGTTTCCTGGTTCTCCCCAGCGCGCACGGCTCTGCCACGGCCCTGGCGGGATGAGCGGAGGGCCCGGCGGGGAGGCACTCGTTGCCTTGGTGACATTTCGGGTGCCTCCGCCGCCTCCTCGCCCATCGCCCAAGGCAACGAGTGCCTCCCCGCCGGGCCCTCCGCTCATCCCGCCAGGGCTGGAATCCATGGCCAGGTTGGAGATGGAGTACCATAGGGATTCGGTCCTGGGAGATTTCAATCATCTTTGAGCATAGACCCAGAGGCAGCTTAAGAGTTCATGGTACCATGACAACCGTGGACCCAACACAAATTATTTCTGGCCTGACTGACAGTGGAGGCCAGACATTAGATCTGGCCTTTGCTTGCTAGCTAGCTAGCTTGCTAAATAAATTAAACAAACATTCATGGCATTCGTGTGTGATCAGGGATTGTTGGCTATTCCCATTAGTTCTTTGCCATGGACCAATCATTCTTTGACCCTTTTGGAGTTATTTCTTCCCTACTGGTCCACTCCAGATACCTAACAGACCCTATCAGGTTTCAGGTGGAACTTGGGGGTGTTCCTCGGACTCTAATGCCTGCTTTGATTAAGGCCTTAGTTGCTTCTTGGAATGAGACAGCAGCAATGTTGGCCTTGGAAGCCTGGATCACTATCTTCACTGGACTGTTTCTAATGTTTATTTTTTTTAATTTCTCCCAATTCACATTCCTCCAAGTTTGTTGATACTTGTACCTTCATTTTGGGCCTCTCTGGTGCCCTTTTCTTACAGCATTGACTGTAGATGTACAGCATCACCCTACATTGTTCACATAGAACTGAGCATGAATAGGGGCACCTATGGAAAAAACCAGGTGAGAAAAGCTATTGTATCACTTTCCTTTGTTATAATCTTATTTAGATTAATACAGATACTTTGTGACAAACTCTTTTCTTTCTCATTAAATTTCTCATCCCAACAGGGACAGCAATCCTGTTCAACCAGTGGTGGGATTCAATTTTTTTTTACTTCCGGTTCTGTGGGCATGGCTTGGTGGATGTGGGTTGGCTTGGTGGGCATGGCAGGAGAAGGTTACTGCAAAATCCCATTCCTCCCCATCCCAGTAACCTGCTTTCCAGCTCTGTTCTCCTGTGCAGGGCAACAAAAGAAGACCCAGCCGATCAGCTGGGACTCAGGAGGCAGAGAATAGATGGGGGCGGGACCAGTCAGAGGTGGTATTTATCGGTTCTCCGAACTACTCAAAATTTCCGCTATAGATTTCTCCAGAACTGGTCAGAACCTGCTGAATACCACCTCTATGTTCAACCCATGTTTGGAAGAGATATGACGGTCCACAGAGTGAAACCTACTCTCATATTCAGTATGGAGATAAAAGAATATTAGCCTGGGTGAATGAATCACTTTGCATTTAATGTCATATGATAGTATAAAGCGATATTTCTCAACTTCGCTAATTTCAGAATGCTGGTTGGAGGTTTCCAGAAGTCCACACATCTTAAAGCACTTGAGACTGAAAAACTCTGCTGTAAAGTATTATTTTAAAAGAAAAGGAGGTCAGGGGAATGGGAAAGGATTGTAAATCTGGATACTAAACTTTTATTTTGACAGAAAAACTGTTCATTGGAAACCTTTGTGAAGGAACAAAACAGGAACAAGGTAGTGATTCAGATAAGTATTTAAAATAAAAAGAAAAGCTATACTTATTTTAGAAGCATGCTTATAGCAGCCTGCAACCTGACAAAGTACCGTATATACTCGAGTATAAGTCGACCCGAATATAAGCCGAGGCACCTAATTTTACACAAAAAACTGGGAAAACTTATTGACTCGAGTATAAGCCGAGGGTGGGAAATGCAGCAGCTACTGGTAAATTTCAAAAATAAAAATAATTAATTTGGGAAACGATCTCACTATCATGAAAGGTTTAATTGATTCACTAACCCAAAAGATGATGATGACAGCGGGAGGCAGGAGTCACTCTCTTCCCCTCCCTTGGAGGCCCCCTGAGTCAGGAGTCACTACCGCCGGCGTGGCCCCAGTCCCACCGCCTCGGGAAGGGAAAGGCAAAGCGCTTTTTGCCTTTCCCTTCCCGGCTGGGGCTGTTGGGAGTCGCTGCCGCCGGAGGCCGCGACTCCACACCATTTTTTTTTCAGAGGGGAATCTGACTCGAGTATAAGCCTAGGGGGATTTTTTCAGCACAAAAAATGGGCTGAAAAACTAGGCTTATACTCGAGTATATACAGTAAATGATTATCTGTTGTATGTGAAAGCAGACCTTAGCTTTTCTCTGTATCTATTCTGTCAATTTCCTGTTCCAAAATCAAGAAATAGATTTAAAAATGCATTTAGCCCCCTTCCTCAATGCCCACAGGAAATCTATTGGTTTTATATATATTCAATACTTGTAGTTTAGCAACTGGTCCTCAGATTAATCCAGGGAGTAGGGAGTAGACTAATCCCAGACGGTTAAAGCCACTTATCTTTGTTCTGCTATATTTAGGTTGTTGAACACTTTTAATTCTAAAAATGACTCTTATAGTTTTGTATCAAAAAATGAAACATGACAAATAACAGTTTCCCCTAAAAGTTTAGATAGGGATAATATTAGAACAAACTATCAAAAGGGACATTATGTAGGTAAAATTTTCCCAATTAATTTCAATAGAGGACACTCCCTATGAAGTATGAAATCTTAAAGATATTTCCACTGAAATTAACCTTTTAAACCATGCAAGTATTGTATCTCTATAATTCATTATAAATTAAGGGGCAGTGATATATAATAGACAAGATATACAGTATATTGTTGAAAGTCAGTGTGATGTAGCAATTAACTTGCTGGATTAGATTGTGAATTCTAATTTTAGGCATGAAAGTTTGCTGGATGACTTTGAGCTAATCAAAAGAACACAGGCAGTACCTTGCTGGATTGCCTCCTGGCCCACCTATTCCAGTCGTCTGTTCTTACGGAAACCATCATGTACACAAGGAAGGCCAGTAATCTTCCAAAGTTGGCCTTCAGGGGCAGTCATACTGCTTTTAAGACTAATATCATTGTTTCTTATGCATTTCTCATATGACATTGTACCACAGTAACTTTTCGTGTGTATTCCAAACTCATTGTTTTACAAGATATGTTTTATGGCTTAGCAAACTGTATAAATTTAACCAGTGATCAATTTAATTCAATGAAACAATTTAATCAGTGGCTTATTGAAACAAGCCATGGCTTAATGCTAAGAGTGATTTTAGTCACTGACAGAAATTCTCTCAAATTATATCACAAAAAGTTTTCTCTATCTGTTTGCTACTATCTAATGTTTGTCTAGATTTTTGCAGTCAAGAGATGGGAAACCTAATTTATTTAGAACAATA